CCGGGATGGGGGGGTGTCTTCCCGTGGGGCTGTCCGGGGTAGGGGAGCGTGCGGGGGAGGGGGGAGGGGTGTCCTTCCTAGGAGCCACCTGGGATAGAGGAGCAGGGGGTTCCTCCTGTGAAGTCCATCAGGATAGAGGAGGGGGTGTGTGTCTCTTTTGGGGTCACCCGCGACGGGGGGATAGTCCGAGGCTGGGGGCTGCCTCGGCTGCGAGCTGTGAGGAAGCAGGTCTGGGCTCCGTGCCCCGGCATGGCCCCGCAGCTGGCTGCGGGCTCAGTCTCCTCATCAGAGCCCCATGCCCCTGTGGGATGTGGGCCGCGGGCTTGGGCAGCTCGGTCTGGGGTACAGGAGTACCACGGGGCGTCCTGCACGGCTGCGCCGAGCGTTGGGGCCTGCTGTCTGTGTCGTTGTCGGTGGTTGTGGTGTTTCTGGGTATCTCTGTGTTATTCTGAGGCCCTGATCAAAATTAGGGCTTCTTTCACACCATGTCGTATGCGTTTCCATGAGCAGTGTCTCAGAACACTTGTGTTTTTAAAAGAGATGGACAAAAAATGGGCTGGATTCATGCTGGGATGTAGAGAAAGGTGATCAGGGCTGGCGTGCGGGGCTGGGGGTGTGTTTGCTGATAGTAAGGCTCAGTGATGGGCTGAGTGGGATTTTGGACTGTAAACAGAGGCTAAGGTGCAGGCAGAAAGTGGCCCGGCTCGTGCTGGAGGCTGGTGAAGTGGTAATGCAGTGGTAGTGAACTACTGGCAGTAATAACAGCGAGCTCTCATGTTTTGTTTTTTAAAACAATTGGCACCACAAGAGTTTGATGTTGTTGCTGGTGTGTGGTATTAATTTTGGAAATCCTGCTGAAGCTGGAATCCGCTTTCCTATCCCAGCAGGGTGTTGGTGGTGTGAAAGTCTCTTCCAACACTCCCTAGCTGGGAATGCACTCGTGAAGTCCTTTGGGACAAGCGAGGTCAGGATAGTAATGGGTGTGTGTGTGTGTGTTTAGAAATTCACTGGACTGTTTCTAATACGTGTTTTTAAAAGCATCATACAACTGAAAAGCACACACATCCCTTTTTTTTTTTTTTAAGTGAAAACCTCCAGCCTGACACCCGGAAGAGCTGAAAAGGTTCTTTCTCCCTTCGCTTTCAAACTTCAGTTACATGGTTTTGGTATTTCTTCACTTCTGGATTAGACATCTTCAACTTTAACATTGGAAATAACAGGCTTTCTTGGCTACTTGCAGCTTCTGTAGCTTGGGGAAACGTTTTCTTTTGTACCTCCTGTAGTACTTGAATTTCACAGAGGCTTTTTCCTTTCTTCAGCCTTACAAAAACTTTACTGGGCGCAGAGAGTTGTTCTGCAGCAAATTACTTCCTCTGTTCTTTGAGCGTAGTCTTGTGTGTAGTTATGTGTTTGATTTCCTCATGGTCTATAAATACCAAGTCTTGGCAGCCTTGGCAAAATCTGTTTGGAGAGAAGTTGTGAGTATCGGAGTATTTTTCTGAAAATAGCGTCTCTTTGAAACTTCACCTTGCCTAATCCGTCACCAATTTCTCCTCTCTCCCCCCAGATTTGGAAAACAAGCTGCAAAGTTGGGTGTAAGTCAGTGAGGAGATGCTCGAGGACTGTGCTGGCATTCCTCACTCTGCCCCTTGCCAGAAATCTTTAATTATTCCTTAAGAAGGCCGGCCTCTTAGTCTGGCTCAGTTGCATGCTTCTGATGTACAGTGCCATTATTTTACCGTAGTAGATGTAAATTGAAATAAGACATCCAGAAGAATCTGCCGTCAGGCTTGGCACGTGCATTTGGAAAGCAGAACCGGGAATGTCCCCTGAGCGGCAGTGCCAGGCGCTGGGCTGTCTGGGGGTGCGCTGGGGGGGCATGGTCCTGAGGAAGTCCTTGGGTGTAATTGCCAGGGAGCATCCGGAGCTCCATCAGTCTCTCCTGTCTGCTGGGAGGGCTGCGGGATCACCGGTCGTTGGAGGAACTAAGACCACAAAAGAGCTTCCCCTCCTTTGAGACTCACCTCCTCTGTCTTCACTGGAGCTGCGGCTTTGCCACCAGGAAACAGAGCCAGCTGGGAGAGGAGGAGGGAAATAAAATGCATACTTTCAGGATGCATATCGGCCCTCCTGAATATTCAGTATAATTGTAACAGCTAATTGTTGTCTTAAAAGAACTCTAAGTCGGGCTCTGTGAGTAACTGGACCACATTGTGCGTTCTGCAGCTGCGTTACTGTGTCACTCTGAAACGTCCTTTGTTGCCATCTCCTTCAGATGTGTGGTTGTGACTGAGGTATGGCAAAACTAATTGATGCATAATTCCTAGCACTTGAGGGTGGATTTTTGCCGTGCTTTGCTGCTGGCCTGGCCCCAGCCCCGGGGCTCTGTTGGTGTGTCTTTGGCAAACAGCCTTGCTCACACTGACCCGCCTCCCAGCACCTGCCTGTGAGCAGGGAGGTGGGAGCTGAGCTGGCTGTTACCTGAAGGGTAAATCCTGACGGCATCTCATCACAGCGTGCATCTTTTGGAGCAGTTGTAGCAGGGCGTACCTTCAGGAGATCTTGGCGCTGGTGGAAGCCAGTCTAAGAAGTTTCTGTCCCTGTCCTGCAGTTTGCTGTCACCTTGTTTTGTGGGGCTGTGTAGTAAACCGTATCGCTGAAATGACCTGGGTTAAATATAACTCTTTTCGGAGGGTCACCCGTGGTGCAGACCCAGAAAAGCACAAGCTGGCACAACTAACACGTTGT